GTTCACTCCAAGCTCCTCTTGATTTGCTTATCTGTGTTGAGAAATCTCCCATGATGCTGATGGGCTTTCCATTTTAGGTGGTTTTTGTTTTTTTTTTTTGATGGCTGGCTCAGCCCACCCTGGGGGCAGGGCTGGCATGTGTGTGGTGCAGGGGATCGAACCACGGTCCCTGCGCACTTGCCTAAGTTTGTCTAAGCAGGTGCTCTGGACTGCTGAGCTCTCGCCGGTGATCTGTTAGTTTGTTTGTTTTTGGTTTGATAACTTAATATTCTGTTCCAGTGCTGAATTTATGATATCTTGATTATGTGTGTAGGTGCAGATTTATTTTGATTGTGGCTAATGGGAGTTCTATAAGCCACACTTAACTATATGTCAGATTCTTTTCTTATGCTTAAGAATTTTCTGCTACCACTTCTGCAAATACTTTTTATGCCATTGTGCTGGCTCCTGCTGTTTTTTCTTTTTCTTTCTTCTTTTTTTTTTTTTTTTTTTTTGCGGGACTGGGGATTGAACTCAGACCCTTGCGCTTGCCAGGGAAGTGGGTTATTCTACTGAGCCATCTCCCTGGCCCCTTCTGCTGTTTCTTTGATACCTAACAGTCTCATATTGTTTTTCTTTGCATCATCTTCTACTTGCTAAGTCATTATTTCCTGGTTCCTTGTTAGTTTTAAGAGATTTTTCCTTTTGAATTCACTAGCTGCACTGCTATTTTCAAGGTCTGAAAGTCTATCTTTAGTTTCATTCAAGCAGTTTTGCCCAGAATTTCAGTGGAGTTCTTAATTTCCTGGGTATCTGTTTGAAGCTGTTTAATACACTCTAATTCTTTCCTCTCTTACTCGTTCAGTCTTTTCATCATTTATCTATTCCCCTCTATTTTTGTTATCTATGCTTTATATAGATATGCTGAGCAATTCTTTCATGATTGTTGTCATTTCTTTTTTGACCTGAGATTATTTCTTGGGGACCTGCCCCTTAGCTCAGTTGTTTAAGTGGCTGCTTCAGCAAAGCAGTCCTGCTCAGGTTGCTGTGGTTCTGATCCCCACAACTCAAGCCAGCAAAACCTGCCCTGAAAGCATTCGGAGCAAAAAACAAAACAAAACAAAA